TGGCTGGCGCCTTAGCCGGTTGAGCTATAGGCGCCAAGCCCCAGCACCATTTATTGAATAGGGATTCATTCTCCAAGTGTATGTTCTTGTTTGGTTTATTGAAGATTAGGTGGTATAAGATGTTAGTTTCATTTCCTGGTTTTCTATGCGATTCTAAATGTCTATGTCTCTATTTTTGTGCCAGTACCATGCTGTTTTGACCACTATGGCCTTATAGTAGAGCCTAAAGTCTGGTATGCTGATGCCCCGGCTTTTTTTTTATTAGTAAAAACTGCCTTTGCTGTATGGGTTTTTTTCTGGTTCCATCTTTTTTTTTTGTTTTTGAGACAGAGTCTCACCATGTTGTCTTTGGTAGAGTGCCATGGCATCACAGCTCACAGCAACCTCAAACTCTTGAGCTTAAGTGATTCTCTTGCTTCAGCCTCCCAAGTAGCTGGGACTACAGGTGCCCACCACAACACCCTATTTTTTGGTTGTAGTTGTCATTGTTGTTTGGCAGGCTCAGGCTGGATTCGAAGGCACCAGCTCTAGCGTATGTGGCTGGCTCCCTAGCTGCTGAGCTACAGGCACTGAGCCCCCACCTTCCTTGATAGCCCCTGAACTTATACCAGCCTAAATTCATCTAAAGCCCTCAAGTGATTGGTGAATGGGATAGAGAAATGAGTAGTCTGACTCATAAGCACCATCTCTTTGCCTGCATTCCGTGTCTTGTGCTTACTTGTGAATGCCCTGGGGAGCAGCATCTGAATTAAACAGAACTACTTTTTTTTTTTTTCCACTGTTGCCCTGGGTAGAGTGCCGTGGCTCCACAGCTCACAACAACCTCAAACTCTTGGGGTCAAGAGTTACCTCAGCCTACCAAGTAGCTGAGATTACAGGCACCCACCACAATGCCTAGCTAGTTTTCTATTTTTATAAAGATGGAGTATTGGTCTTGCTCAGGCTGGTCTTGAACTCCTGAGCTCAAACCATCCTCCTACCTTGGCCTCCCAGAATACTAAAGTTATAGGCATGCGCCACCGTACCCTGTCTGAAATAAACAGAACTTAGAACCAG